AACCTGCCACCTTAGGTGTATGTGGCTGGCGCCTTAGCCGCTTGAGCCACAGGCGCCGAGCCCAACAGCATTGTTTTTAATAGCCTGAAACTGTCTACCAAGAGTAAAATGGATAAACTATGGATATTATACAACAATAAAAATTTAACCTGAGTTACATGTAAGAACAAGGATGAATCCACAGTATTAACAAAAAGAAACAAGACACAAGAATACATGTGGTATGACTAAGTTTGTGTAAACTATACAACCAGACAGCATTAAACCGTAGTATTTATGGCAAGGCTTGGCAGACTTAGCTTTAAAGGCCAGATAGTAAGTACTTTAGACTGTTACAACCACAGCTCCTTAACTCTGCTACTATAGTGCAAAAGCAGCCCTAGGCCAGCCAAGGCTGTGTCCCAGCAAGTACCAGCTCCAAGTTTATGGGTACATATATTTGAGATAAAATGACTAAAGGAAGGGGATGGGTGGAAAGAAACATTAACCATAAAAAAACGGGCTTTTGTTTGGTTTGTGGAGACAGGGTCTTGCTTATTGCCCAGACCTTAGGGCAGTGTTGTGATCATAGCTCAGACCAACCTCAAACGCTTGGGCGCACGTGATCCTCCTGCCTCAGCCTCCCAAGTAGCTAAGACTACAGGCAGTACTACCATATCCATCTAATTTTTAAAATTTTTGTAGAGACAGGGTCTTGCCTCTCTTGCTTAGGCTTATCTTGAACTTCTGACCTCATATGACTCTCCTACCTCACCCTCCCAAAGTGCTAGCATTACCAGCATGAGCCACTGTGCTCACCCTAAAACAAGCTTTTATTTTTTATTTATTTATTTATTTATTTTTGAGACAGAGCCTCAAACTGTCCCCCTGGGTAGAGTGACATGGCATCACAGCTCACAGCAACCTCCATCTCCTGGGTTCAAGTGAGTCTCCTGCCTCAGCCTCCGAAGTAGCTAGGACCACAGGCGCCCGCCACAACACCGGCTATTTTTTGGTTGCAGCCGTCATTATTGTTTGGTGGGCCCGGGCTGGATTCGAACCCGCTACCTTAGGTGTATGTGGCTGGCACCTTGGCCACTTGAGCCACAGGTGCCAAGCCGTAAAACAAGCTTTTAGAGGGGAGAGGTCTGCAGTCAGGGCAAGTGGGGACTTCCAGGATGCTGGCAGTACTTCTGTGCAGCTTGTGTGACGGTCACCTAGGTGTTTGCTCTACCTCTTAAATTCTGTGTAAAGGTTGTACAATAATCCAGTTTGTTGTATGTCACAAGAAAACAAGTTTTTAAAAAATTGTGCTTCCCGGGCGGCATCTGTGGCTCATGAGTAGGGCGCTGGCCCCGGCCCCGGCCAAACTGCAACAAAAAAATAGCTGGCCATTGTGGCAGGCACCTATAGTACCAACTCCTCAGGGGACTGAGGCAAGAGAATCGCCTGAGCCCAAGAGCTGGAGGGTGCTATGAGCTTTGACACCATGGCACTCTACCAAGGGCAACAAAGTAAGATTCTGTCTCTAAAAAAAAAGAAATTGTGCTTTCTTAAATGATTGTTAATTATTAATGTGTATTTTTATTTAGTTTGTATTTGAATTGCTCTCCTTATTTTCTGAGATTAATGTCAAATATTCCTAAAAAAAATTTAGATGGTGGGCGGCACCTGTATCTCAGTGGGGAGGGCGCTGGCCACATACACTGAGGCTGGCAGGTTTGACCCCAACCTGGGCCAGCTAAAAACAACAATGACAACTGCAACAAAAAAAATAGCTGGGCATTGTGGCAGGCACCTGTAGTCCCAGCTTTTTTGGGAAGCTGAAGCAAGAGAATCACTTAAGCCCAAGAGTTTGAGGTTGCTATGAGCTGTGATATCACAGCACTCTACCCAGGGTGACATAATAAGACTCTGTCTTAAAAAAAAAAAAAAAATTAGATAGTAATGTAAGACTGTTGTCTTACATATGATTTATTTTAAATAACGTTTCATTGAAATAAAAATAAAGTATAGAATACTACTACTTTTTTTTTTTTTTGAGACGGAGCCTCAAGCTATCCCCCTGGGTAGAGTGCCATGGCATCACGCTCACAGCAACCTTCAACTCCTGGGCTCAAGCGAGTCTCCTGCCTCAGCCTCCCAAGTAGCTGGGACTACAGGTGCCCGCCACAACGCCTGGCCATTTTTTTTTTTTTGGTGGCAGCCATCATTGTTGTTTGGCAGGCCCGGGCTGGGGATTCGAACCCGCCACCTTAGGTGTATGTGGCTGGCGCCTTAGCCGCTTGAGCCACAGGCGCCGAGCCAGAATACTACTACTTTTGATTAGTAATTTAGGTCATGAACACTAGGTAGTGTCTGTGAGAGGCTTGGATAGCTGGTAGTTCTTATCTTATTGATACCAAAGTATTAATGCTGCCCTCTTTCTGTTATTGACAGGCTCAGTAGATGAGGGCGTCACCGAGGGATTACCTACACTTCAGAGCACTTCCAGCACTAATCCCCATGCAGACGATGACGACCGGTCAGTACCAACGTAGCATGCGGCTGTTTTGGAAGGGTTGGGCTTACAACTCTAAATTTAAGCATTTTATCTCAGAATTGCACAAGAAGTTAGCGTTATCACATTATAAATAAGAGCACCGATACAGGGCTTTATTGGAATTTCCAAAACCACCCATGCCATTGCTTTAAATAGTGTGTGTGTATATTTACCACCTTTGTGAGTCAAGTATGGTTGGAATATGGACACACTCATTTGTTTACAAATTGTTTGTGGGTACAGACTTGAGTGTTCAAAACAGAGACCACATGGTGTGCGAAGCCATAATTTCTAGGTCATCTTCACATTATTTCTACACATATATATGAGGGTATTTTACATTTAACAAGGCCAAGACAGAAGTCTTGATTTCTACCAATCTTTCTCCCATTTCAATAAAGAGCATTATCATTCCTTAATTTCTAAAGCAAAATCTCTTGAGAATTAATCTTTTTTTCCTTTACCACTCCTCATTCTGCCTCCTTACATTTAATCCTTAAGTAGGTCTTGTCACTCCCTATGCAATGTTGCTAATTCGCCTCCCTTTCCTGTCTGCGCCTGCACAGCCACCTAGTGGGGCACCACCCTCTGTCTTGATACTGCAGTAGTACAGTAGCTGTCAAACTGGTCTTTGATTTCTTTCTTTTTTTTTAGAGAGAGAGTCTCACTTTGTCATCCTCAGTAGAGTGCCATGGCGTCACACAGCTCACAGCAACCTCCAGCTCCTGGGCTTAGGCGATTCTCTTGCCTCAGCCTCCCAAGTAGCTGGGACTA